ACTTCTAATTGGTCTAAGTGATCAACCAAGGTACACACATGGCAAAACAAACATAGCATCCAATCTATTAAAACAAAACTATGCAACATACATGTTTCATTAGTATGTTTTAATTCTATATTTCATGTCATGCTTATGAATGCATAATAATGATTATGCTCATGATTTGCAAAATATTAATGCATGCTTAACACCGAGGTGTTACAGTAATACCCTTAAACCTTAATGACATATATTCCAAAGCCTAAGTACCGTACTCCTGTTGAAATGTCGGGATGGTGACCAAAACAACAATTAAAGCTGTTGCAAAAGCACATGTTAGTGGTGCAACGAAGAAACAATTAGAGCGAAACATCTGACAAAGGAGCACAAACAGAGAAAATGATCAAAGTAAACAGAAGTCATAAATTAACAACCAGGCTTTGCCGCTGGAACAAAAATCTTAAAAATCCCACCAACAGAGGAACAAGATGCAGCACTACGCCAATTCCAGTAGGAACCGGAACAACATGGAGGATGTACCTATTACTTCCAGTGAGGAGTGGTTGCCTACAGCAGATCAAATCTCCAGGAACGCCATAAGAAAATCCATGTATAGGAAATTAGTAGGGTGAAACCGAAGGTAGCAGTTTCATGTATAGATGCAAGCCTATGGAAAAATGAAAAATCATTGCCAGGATTAGCATATGGTACATATAATGCTCATTTCATAGTATCTTTCAGGTTCAGTTCACAGTAACAAATGGATGCACGAAAATGGAAGCTTAACCATAGATGAACATGAGAGGTCTAAAATTGTTAGTTTAACCATTTTCAAGGTCACGGTTCCACTGAGATCTACATTGGTGACACTCAAAGACTCATTTATAACCTTTCTCCATATATGGGTGCTATTGAAATTAGTTGCATAAACTCTATTCCTGTACATATAAATATTCCCTCAAGCACTCTAAATTCCTTTATGAAACATCTAAGAAATTCTGCCTATTAACTGGGAATAAAAAAATTGCATTAAACAACCAAAGACTTGTGTTGATGAATGAAATTCTGGAATAATGTGAGCATATGAAATAGATTGATAGTATATAACTCAAACAACATATGAAAAAACACCCACAAGCTCATCATATAGCACACCTGGGTGACAGCTAAATCCTAGAAGTGCCGTAAGAACGATCCTTTATTTTTTTCCAAAATTAGAAGTGCAGGAAGTAAAATTAGAAGGTTGGACACTCTAAATAGAAGACTAGTAGTACCAAGAGGCCATTATAAATGAATTACCAACAAGCTCTGGCAACACGAGAAATAGATAAAACAAGCATCGGTAGCACGAGAAATAGATAAAACAACGAATTGGGAACAAGCAGGATCGGGATTGCAGGGTACTAACTATCATAATAACTAGAAATAGTAGGTAGGAGTACTGACTATCACAAATGAATTAAATAAAACTTCCGGAGTTCAGACCGGCATCATTAACCAATACAAAAACTAGCAATGAACAAATTAAACTACGTAATGGCAGTGCATTCCGACTTGGGAGGAAGGAGAAGCCATACCTCGAAGTGAGGGTGTGGTGTGGCGCCGTGGGGATCTGGCGCCATGGCGACTACATCAGATGCGGGAGGGGATGAGGTCGGGGTGGATTGGCCTTCTTTCTAGCGGCAGCTTGCTCCGCCTGGTTCCAGGCCGGCGGCCTCTTGCCCACCAGGCCTTCTACCCAAAGACCCCGTCCACGCATCATGGCCCGCGGTGATGGATTTTGCAGCTGAGAAATCTTTGGTCGACCACCGACGCGAGGGGGGCTGCGGTGCGAGCATGACGGGGAGGGCGTCGCTGTGTGGGGCCGCAGGCTCCTCCATCGAGCAGGCGAGTAGTTTAGACGGCCAGGCAACGCTGGCGCTGGAAGTGCGGAGAGAAGAGGTTGGCGTGGGGAGGATTGAGTCGGCGGCGCTGGTCCCCGCAGCCGTGGGGAAGGGCTGCTCCGGCCAGCCGCGCATGGTCGAGCTCCTCCGACATGGGCGTGTGGTCGAGCTCCTCCGATGAGCTGCGTGTGGCTGCTCCGGCCAGCTGCGCGTACTCGAGCTCCTCTCGTCGTTCGACCAACCATCAGTTTCGGCGGAGATATCGTGGTGTGAACAGACGGTCGAGGAGTCGAGTCCAAGGCGAGCGCATGGTGGAGGATTGTGGATAAGGTGATGTGTGGTGGAGATAAATAAAAGGACTGGGGAGTACAAAATAAAAAAGTAGATACAAATAAGGGAAAATTAAAGAAAGAAAAAACAAAAATAAAAGAAGTGTATATTATAGACATTTTATTTACCACCGGTGGGGAACGGGATGACGGAGTGAGAAGGGAAGAAATGAGGAGAGGAGAGAATAAACGAGAAATGAGAAAAAAACGGAAATAAGAGGGTTATTTCATACACTTTTCTCTCTTCAACGGCACAGAGAAGCAATTTTGCCAAATAGTTCATAAAATCTGATTTAGCTCTCCGAATGAATCTGCTCTACATGTGAAGGAACAACTGAATCTCTACAATATCGTATGTAAAGAGGTTCTAACTCCATAAAAGAGATAATGTCTCATGCATCGATGCATATTTTTTCAAAATAGTCAATAGTACTTTACCTTTAATAAATAAGCAACTACTTATATGCAGGATACTTCAAACTACAGCTCTGTATGCTTCCGCTGCAAGAAGTCAGACGTCTCATCTTGGACTTGAAAATCTTCTTGATCATCTTTGATTAGTGACCAGCTACAGTTTGGTGTCCGTGCTTTCCGTGCAAAGCACGTTCTTCTGGTCAAACTACTGAGAGACTAGATTCTTAATTGTATAATATATTTTATGAAATTATGTATATATTTTATTATATAAGATAAGAAATAGTGAGTAGTATGTCATGTTTACACATGGATTTTTATTTTTTTATATGCTGGTTGAAAGAACTATGGTTTCGCATCAAAACTTAGAGTTATATTTTAATTGTCTATCATTCATGCAGAGTTATGGAATAATGATGTTTCAATATCACTATTGTAGTATCTTTTTAAGGTAATATTTCCCTCCGTTTTCGTTTACTTGTCACTAACTTTTTATTGTAGTAAATTTGACCATCTATTTTTTCTTCTAAAAAATCTTAGACACTTCAATGTATATAACACTAATGAAGTATGTTCAATAAAGAATCATATATGTGAAAACTTGATGTATCTAAAAATCTTTTGCAAAAAAAAACATATGGTCAAAATTGCTATAGTAAAAGTTCAGTGGCGAGTAAACGGAAACGAAGGTAGTAGTATAACACACTCATACATTCGTTAGCGTAGTATTATGTTTTCTCGTTGCAACACATGGGCATTTACCTAGTAATAGTAATAATTGCTAAAAGAAAGTGAGTGCTTATGATAGCTGGGTGATCCGTCATATTTCTTGCGCTTTGGCCTTGATGTTTCATCATATATGGTTCTGTATATATTGTTCATGGATCTGACGTTTGTGCTTTTGATTTCGCGTTGCAGGCGTGAACTCTCGCACTGCCGCACGGGAGAGCTGCAGCCCGGACATCTTACCATTAATAATGAAAGCATCTTTTTTTTCTTTTTGAAACGGTCGGCAGGAGCTATGCTGAACTTGTATTGATATAGAAGGAAACAAGCACCGTACAAAGCAATTCCAAAAAAGAACAAAAGGCTCAAAAAAATAAACTAAGCCTCGGGAAGTAGGAATAGTTTTTTGGCTCCTGCTGCACACCAGTGAGTGCTTCCGTTGTGTTATGTCGGTGATAAAAAATTATCGCATTTCTCTCTTTTCGAATCTCCCACGCTACTAGAATGGTTAGCGTACGCACCACCTTTGCCGGCAACCCTGGCGATGTGGATTGCTCGCCACCTGTAGAACAAAGATTTGCCCCACTGAGAAGTGGATGGCAAGTTGCCATCTGTCCAAGTACGCACGACATTCCAAATTCAAAGGCTATAGTGGCGGTGTGTAAGTAAGTGAATGACAGATTCATCCGATAATGAAAGCATCATTAGATTACTTCTACTTTTTATATAGTATAAAAGAAGTGTCCTTATTGGGCAACTAGAGGGCCCGCCACAGCGCCAAGCTGCATGTCGTGGCGTTGGATCTGATCGAGTAAAGGCAGTGGTAGGTGACGTCCCGTAGATAAAGGCAGTGGTAAGCCACGTTCTCATCGACAATGAGGCGTCTGTGGTGACTTTATGAATCTAGAGATCTGCCAGCTCAGTCTTTCAGATGTGCTCATACGCCACGTTATACTATGTAATTTAAAAAAAAAGCATCATCCAAGATTATGCACTGATGTGCTGGATGGATGTAATCGGTTCTGTATTTGCCTTCAATTCCTTCCTCAGCTGTGCTGGACCAAGCCAGTTTGTGAAACTATGTTCGGCCCCGTTGCAATACGTACGGAATTATGGATCTTGAAAATTGTTATTTACCAACATGAAACATGCATGCATGGCAAGCAAAATCTTGAGACCTTTGAACAATTCATTACACGTTGGTTCCTTCTCCGAAAGGATAATAATGCTTGGCTGCTGGCCATGCACTTCCCAAAATAACTAAGGCCAACTTTTGATCTCCAATCATACGCCAAAGGTAAGAATGGTGATGATGAATCGTATGGTAGCATCCAGCCAGCCAGCCAGCCGAACGCGGCGAAGCAATAGCGACAGAATGTAAAGTGAAGTAGTGAACCATCTGCCCAGCATGTTACAGATAAAGTTCTTTGTTGCAAAAGGAATCATCCACAAAGGTCCTTACATAATTGCCTACTGGCCAAAATTGCGACAGAAACACAGGTCCAGGCACTGTTCAGAAACACCTCTGTAGGCGAGTACAGTACGTCCAACCAACAGAAAAAAGACATTTAAGAGACACGCACAGTAACATAAGAGCGTATCCGATTCCCCTTATGATAAGAAGTACTGAGAAACTTCTGAAACAAACAGGGTGACTCGCCGAAGCCTACTCAAATAATTCATCGGCACTTTGTCCAGTAGAATGTTTCCTGATCATTGCCTCGTCTGCCTCCCTGAAAAAATCAGCAAGCTTATTCAGAAATGTGAATGGAGCTGGTTTACGAAACCTTGAAAATCGAAGGTGCATTCTGTTCAATATCTCTAGTTTACAATCATTTTGTGCAAAATAATGTCCACATAGATCGTAGGTTCACACTTTATACCAACAATATATCATGACAAAGCATACAAGTAATATGATTTTTGAAACATGTTTCATTTGATTACCACAAGCTTGGTGTAGAAAATGTGAAATGCCATTTCAAGCAACCTTTCAAGAGTAGTGATCACATATGAAAGGCAACAGGAAGAACAATACCAGTAAGCGTTCTGTATGTCCAAATTTGAAGGATCCAGTTTCAACCCATCCATGAATGCATCACGTGCTTCGTTGTACTCCTATAATAACAAAAAAAAATGGAGCATATGATCAACAAGAGGTGTGGTGTCCAAAGCAGAATGAGACTAGAAAGTTGTATCATCTGACCTTAAGCGACATGAGGGCAGCTCCTTTACGGTAGTAACCCTTTGGCCAGTCAGGCTGCAGGCTTATGCAAGCATTAGCATCAACCAGAGCATCCCTGGCTCCACCAATTTTCAGATGGCAGAAGCTCCGATTTGAATACAGTGTTGCGTCGGCAGGGTCCAACATGATTGCCTGATAAAATCAAATCGTGAGAGCACACCCAAAATCAAACTGGGCATAGCGATTTTATTAATACTTATCACAATATGATCCTTTTTTAGTCAAATCTGAATGCTCATCCTTGATGTAAGAATGTAAGCAAAACAAGGCTTTTGAATGAAACACAAGTGCCAACGTTTCAATCCAAGAAAAAGTAAACCAGAACCAATTGACAGTACACAATGATATACCTCAGTGTAGAATTTTGAAGCACCAGCATAATCCTTTTCTTTAACTGCTTGTCCACCATGTAATTTCAGCTGAGCCTTCCTATCTTCATCACTTAATTTATCCTGTACCAAATACAAAACATGAACCATTGTAAAAGGAAAAAAATACAGGTGCTGCAAACATGAGGTCAGCACACTAGATTATTTCCAATAGAAATATGTGCACTAGACATACCTCGGTGCAGCCCTTTGATGCACCAGCATCCTCCTTGACTGATCTTTCACCATTTAAGTTCAGCTGATTTTTGCTATCATTATCATTATCAGATTTCTGGCCCTGAGTCAAGATGATGGTTAAAAGGCTATCATAGCTACATAAGGACCAAGAGGTTATTCCTCCATTTCAAATTATAAGGCGTTTTGGCTTTTCTAGATACATGGTTTTTGCTATACACTAAGATATTTCCGTACATAGTAAAAACAATGTATCTAGAAAAGCCAAAACGTCTTATAATTTGGAATGCAGGGAGTACCAAAAATAGTTAGTTTTGACTGAACAACTTTACAGGAAGTCAAAGGATCATTTGAACTAGCAAAGTTTAACCACATTCATTAGAATGACAATTTAGCACTTATTACCAAATTGCTTACTCAGATAGTTGCCGTTCATTTCCAGGCCACTGTTTTAGCAGATATTTGCTACAGAGTAAAGGCACACCAACGCCAAGCACACAGGCTACTAAAATAGTACTGCCTCTGTCAATAAAAGAATGCAATTCTAGGTGCATTCTTGGTTAATGTGTCTAAAGTTTAACTAAATATATAGCTAAAAATATTATTGTTTATAACACCAAATAAGTAATAGTATGAAAATATCTCATGAAAAATCTAATTATACTTATTTGATATTATAAATATTGATATTTTTATTTATAGTTAATCAAACTCAAGATACTTTAACTTGGTACTGTTCTAGAATTGCATTCTTTTCTGGACAAAGGGAGTATAAACAACTAAGTATAAATCAGCAAACAAGTGACTATTTATAAGCAGAAACTGTAGTATAAAACTGTCCTGCTTACCAGATAAAACAGACGTAGAGTACCAAACAAGGACAAGATTCACCATCAATTTAGAACTTAAGAATAATCACAAACATCTCATATATGTAGAGGCTACAAGTAGTAGTTTTTAGTGCGCATGGGTGCAGACACACATGTTCTGCTAACCATGCTGCCTCAGGAAACATGCATGGTTTAGCTCTATAATCTGAAGTTCCGAGCAACCCACCTCTTTCAGAATAAATAAATAAATAATCCGAACTCCAGATAACACAAGGACAAATACAACACATGTGAACTCTAGTACTCTACAATATATCGACAAGCTACAGATTCTCCATTCTGCTTGCACTCCAACCTACCCTACAACCTCCTGTACGAATGCAATTTGGCTAAGTTATTCACTTATCCAGAAGTGAAGCACAGACAGAAGTGACGGGCTCAAAGAATGACCGAGTCATACAGCTGAAAAATATTCAACAAAAATGACTAAATGATAGGTTCTGTTACCTTGTGTTTTGATTGCCTTGATCTTGCATAAGCAAGGATTCCTTCAACACTCCAGTCTGAAATGGTTTGAATGGGTGAAGTGAAAGGAAATAAACTCTCAACAAGATTTCTTCTTCCAGACTTTGCAGCAATTTCTATTGGTGTTTTACGGCCCTGTAATGAAATAAAGAACAACAAGAACTATTTTACATTAGTTAAGACATAAAACAAGAGAACTCTTATTGCATAACTACTTAGAATTCTCATACAAATGAAATTGTTTCCTCGTCCTACCAGAAGAAGAAAAAAGGAGAGAATGCACAATTGAGTGTAGGCATATAAGATTTAAAAAAAAAAAGTTAGTAAGAGATAAAAGCTCACATGTTTGATTGGAATATTTGCATCAGCGCCAACCTCCAATAAGTAATCAACACACTCATTTAAGCCTCTGCTAGTTGCTATAATTAATGGAGTATCAGGATTTGTAGAATTCAAATCAGCACCAGCCTGTGATTAGCAATTAGTACTGAATTCAATAAAAGGGATGTTTCAAGATTCTCTCCATTGATCAATATATAAAGAAAGCAAATTGGGTACCACCTTGACAAGGAGCTTCATGCACTTTAAGCAAGCAGATACACTGGCTTTTTCATATGTGGCACAAAGAATTTTAGCCAGGGGTGTATAAAGATCTGGGGAAACCCTATCTGGCTGCAAAAAAGAGTTAACAAACAGCTGCAGATCCATCCAAGAAAACACTCTAAAGCAGCATAAGTTGATAAGATAAATCAATTCGATGCAGCATAATTTCGAATGAAGAGCAGGTACATTGTCCAAAACAAATAGCTGCAGATTTACCCCAAGAAAACCCTCTAAAGCAGCATATGTTGATGAGAACAATCAATTCAATGCAGCATAATTTCGAACCAATGGCAGGTAGAAATGTAGGACGGCTAACTAAACATGGAAGCACAGGGTATGGTAAAAGTCCCAGTCAGAAACATATAAAAGAAGGCCACAATGAAATGAAGTCTAATGTAGCAAATATAAAGTACAGTGAACATTTCATCCTTGTTTGGGTTACGGGCACTAAAATCTTATGTCCCCACAAAAAGGTGCAACTGGAGCAAAGCTAAGCACAATTTCCAATCCCTCAGCCCCTCCCCAAACCAAATAATACCCCAACCCACCATGTTGAAGTTAAAAGTTTGTATTAATAATTACGTCTGCATGGTGTTCCAATAAAATCTCCATGACACCGAACTTCCCACGCGCAGCAGAAACATGTAGCGGTGTCCCTTCAGAAGATTCCAGATCAACATTAGCTCCTCTAGAGAGCAACAAACGTGCTATTCCACTGTACCCTGGAAAAAATCAGAAACGTGCAATAGTGTTACAATAAACTTATCCAGCCACCTCTTACATATTATCAGTCCCCATTCCCCAATATACAGGAGCTCTAATTCATGATGTTAACACATAAGAAATGTTTAGGTGATCATTACGTAAGATTATAAACAGATACAAATTCTATGCACTATGCAGTGATGAATGAATTTTAAAATAAACATAAGTGCGAGTAGAAATGAAGGCGTTCACAGAAAGGGGAACCTCGTTTGACAGCATAGTGCAGAGGAGTAAAGCCCATGGCATCTTGCTTATTAAGATCTGCACCCTTGGCAATAAGATACCTCACAGCAATCACTTTGCCACGTGACACTGCACAAGTCAAAGGAGTCTTCCCTGACAAAGTGTAACAAAAAGACAATTTAGTCAGACCTACCTTTGTGGACTACCACGGCAAAGAGAAGGAATAAAAGCTTCACCAGCACATCATACTATTCCATAGTTACAATTTTAGCAAATGTGAAACAGTGGTTCAGAAAAACATTTCCATCTTAGATTGAGACTTTATATTAGTAACTTAAAATCTTTCATTTTTGGGACAGTATTAGCAGAAATCGCACAGAAACACCATATTTATAATATGGTATCATTAGAAACAGGCATTGCAATTGGTGTCATCTAGAAACATATTATTAACATAAGATCTAAGAATCCAATTAGCGTGTCCCGTGATTAAATTATACCAATGCCACATAAATAGAAGAAACAAAAAAAACTGAGAATATACCTATAGAAGAGGACCAATAACTGGACAAATTGTACCAGCAATGGCACACTGTGCCCGTTAAACCAATATAAAAGAGGAGGAACTAAAGAAAGATTTAACTCTTTAAGAAAAGCACATAAAAGGTAGGAACGAATGGTACTTTTTGTGCATACTTGAAAGAAATATCCATATCTCGCGAGTTCAACAGTGTCACGTACAATGTTGTATTTAGTGATACATGATAATATCACATGATAAACCATAAGCTATGAAAAAATAGAGCATCCAGATTTGAAATTATTATAGGCTAAATATATTAGTAATAAATACAGAAAAGATTCACATTATCATCAGTCAAGATATGCATCACATCAGAAAAAAACTATCATATATTAGAGAACAAGCAGAAGATAATTAACTCGAACCTAGGAAACACATACCCGAGCCATCATTAGCACAAACATCGACATCAAACTCAAGATTTTCCACCAGGTGTTTGCAAGCATCCATTTTGCCCGCGCTTGCCGCATCATGCAGTGGCCCCAGGTGCTCCTCCTCGTCAGAATCTTCAGCCATTCTTTCAAGCACCTCTACAAGACCCAAACAAACAGGAAGCAGGTAAGAGAGAAACTTGTCAAAAGTATAACCCATATGTTCATAAGAGATAACTGCGTAACACAGGACCAAAGCCTTCACGGAACCAGGAAAATGCGCACCTTCCCAAAATCACAGTTCATAACATAACAATGCCAAACAATATACATAGCCTATAAGAAAGCCATAATTAAAAGCAGCAGAGCATGAAAACATTAGTACCACTCAACAGACATGCACAAAAATCTTATCTCAATTATCAGTAGTATCCCTCATCGTACATGCATAAAAATCTTAAACTAGCAAGTAGAGAAAAAGGAAACCACTTTGTGGTTGTGCCTGAAACAAGTACCCAATCACGATTGACACCACACATGACACATGAGACTGCCAATTGCACCATCCCTCATTCCCTCACCACACCACCATACGTGAACAAATATGGACACGCTTACCCCACGAGCGCTCCTCCATGCACAGCAGGAGAAACACGATTCGAGATTCGACTATGCCACAGATAAAACAAAAACCCACAACTTTAACAAGGAACCAGTGCCGTCTTGGGGGAACGGGGGAAGAGGTGGGATGTCGATCTCACCCATGATGTTGCTCCCGTCGCAATCCGACGACGCTACGCTGCGCTTCATCTGGTCCACCATCTCGGAACCTGCACGAGGAGGGGGAGGAACGGCAAGCATCAACCACGTGCCACACTACGGCGGGACGAATCGAAGCGCGAACGAGGAAACATAAATAAAGGAAACAGCCCTGGGCTCCGGCGACGGCCAGTCGTTTTACGTACTAATTCCGCCGGCCCCGATCCCGATGGCGGAGGCGATCATGCGCAAGGACGCCGCCATCGGCTTGTCGTACTCGCGAGAGCTCCAGGCCGCCATGGAGGAGTGGCTGGGGTTCCGCGATTTGGGGTTTTGGGGTTTTGGAGTGGTGTGAGGGGAAGGCTGGAGGAGGGAGGAGAGGGGAAGAAGGCTCGCCTCGCTGCGCTGCGCAAGCTGGCAGCCTGCTTTATGCACCGGGCAAAAGCAGGGAGAGAGCCGCGGAAAGAGAGAGAGGAAGGGGCGCGGTGCCTCCATCGGTCGACGCGTGTCTGTATGAACGGAGTAGATTGGGGCGAGGAGCAGCTGAGGAGTGATTTGCTATGCAGCGCCCGGACAGAATCACTTGTGTCGTGGCCTGTGGGCGCAGCGCAGGCTTCGGGATTGGGTGTTCGAATCACGGTTTTCAAGAGGAGAAATGGTATATGCGTACACAGTCGGGCTGGCACAAAAAGCTTTGCTAGCCCCGCTTTCGGTGTTATTTCTCATTCACATGCTTTGAAGGTCAATTATAATTTTACTTTATTTTTTAACTTTATGATTTCATTCTTGATTTTTAATCTAATAAGGTCACTGTATCTCTTTTTTTTAAAGTGAAATGCATCCACGGTCCTCGAACTTGTATCCCTAAACTTTGAGAATGCATTATTGTATCCCTAAATTTGTTAAATAGTGCACCGTCAGATTCATACCAACCATATAATCATTTTTTGTTAACGTGACGTGCTAGCGTGGAGCTTATTCAGCACTACTTTTCAGTCATAAACGGTGTTTTCCTCTCACAATATTTTAGCATAAGTGAATAAGACGATTTTAACATTTAACGCCTCACATCTATTTTTGTCTTGGAAAATAGACCCTCCATTCTACTCTCCTAACCCTGTTATTTGTGCCACAATTCCACGTTATCCTGTCCTCGATTCTCTTCTACTGTATGTGCTAACTCCGCTACCATTATGTCAACATTATGCGGCCGGAGCTGGACACGCCACGCTGGAACAGGTTTGCTTTGGTCTGCGCCACGCTCGCCTCCGTGATCACAATCCTCATGGGCTACAGTGAAATTCACCATCCTAGGCCTGCTTCGTGCCTTGCAGATCTCGCACTGGTGAGTGGCGTGCATCTGTTCATCCGGCAGGACCCTGGGCCTCTCTCCGAGGTGCTCACGGTCACGGGCCGCGTCCACGAACCTGTTCATGCTGGTGTCCATCATCCTCGGCGCCGGATGGGCGGCCGACTTCCTGGGCCGCGCGGGGCACGCTCGTGCTAGCCAATGGCTTCCTCATGGCGGGCTGGAGCGCCCGCCATGTCTGTCGGCGGCAGCTACGCCGCGGCCGCGCTCATGGCCACGCGCTTCGTCACCAGCATCGGGGTTGGGTTCTCCCGCGTTATTGCGCCCGTGTACAGCGCTGAGATCTCGCCAGCGTCCACGCGCGGCGTCCTGCCGACGCACTGTCGTCCGCTAGACGTTTTGCCTGCACCGTTTGTTGGTTCCTAGCTCGTTGAGGATGTTTTCCTGATGTACCTGTGCTCGACCGTGCAGATGTTTGTCAACGTCGGCTTCTTGCTTAGCTACGTGTATATATGCGTTAGCCGGCCTGCCAGTGCACACGTCGGCTGGCGCGTCATGTTTGCCATCGGTGCGCTCCCACCGGGTCACCTGTGTTAGTTCCTCGCCGCGGGGGCACTTGCCATGCCGGAGTCGCAGCGGTACGGGTGGTTGTTGATGCGTGGGCGCGAGAAGGCACACACGGTGCTCGTGCGCACCTCGAACACCCCAGCTGAGGCCGATCTGTCCGCCTCCAGGAGATCAAGCAAGCCGTCGAGGCGCCGCATGCAGCTGGCAGCGGTGGCGCGTGTGGAAAGAGATGCTCCGTGGCAGACGAAAAATGTGCGCTGGATCATTATCTGCATTGGTTAAACTCTTCTTCTTAATTACAATGATACGTAAATTTTTTGTGTATTCAAGAAAAAAAATCTGCATTGTCGGTCTGCAGTTCTTGCATACGTCCGGCTCCAGCATCGACACCATCGTGCTCTACAGCCCGCTGAAGGTCGGCATGTCGTCGAACAGTGCCATCCTCGGTGCCACCATTGCCGTAGGAGGTAGGAGCAGAGACGGAGACGGGGGCAGGCCCCCCTATGAACATGATTTTTCCACTAAATTTTTCAAAATTCAAATAAAATTTGAAAATTCAACACCCCCCCTAATTCAAAAATTCAACTTCCTGGCTCCGCCCCTAGGTAGGAGTGGTCAAGACATGCTTCATCCCTGCAGGGAAGGCGTCGGCGATTGATTATTGATTTCCCTGTTGCCATCTTTCTGGGCAAATGGAATAGGAGAGGCAATCCGTATTTTTAAGTGTCAATCAGTTTTTAAGGAAAGGATAGGAATGTAGCAGGGCAGGAGGAGGCGCGCACGCTGTGAAACCCAGAGGGGCGCGGATCGCTAGCGCACGCGGTGAAAGCCGGAGTGGCGCTGATCGCCTTCCTTTTGGGGCACGCACAATCGCCTTCCTTTGGGGATCGCCGGAGGTTACGTGGTGTGAGGGGCGCGCGTACGAAGCCGGGCAGAGCGAAAGGGGCGACGTACGTCGTCCGCTGGGTAGAGTCTTCATTACGTATTTTTTAGTTATAGAGACCGAGAAGAAATAGAGATAAGGCGCTAAGCAAACTGTGGCATGCGAAGGTTTTTACGTGTTATATCCCTTCTGAAAAAATTCACGTTCTACTCAACGCGCACATGACCGACGATGATACGACTGACTGACTATCCTTTGTCCTCTTCCGCGAGGAGGAGGTTTGGGCGCGCGGAAGCCTAACTACGGATGTGCACTGGGAGGCCTTTTATTTGACGGACTAGTCCATCAACCCCGCACAACATTTGAAATTTGTTTAAACAATTTAGGTTCCACAAAATTGCCTTCTCTCAAGTTGGTCATATTCTAACACAATACTCACATATATACTTTCTAATAATATGGATCCAGTTGTGATAAACTTTAGCTAATAAAATTTATGTATATAATTTTCGGTCCCAACATATGGTTGCCGACTTTGCATCGTATCTCCATACATCACATATGTTTAGCTTTTGAATATTTTAATATGAAACTGATTTTTTTCCTTTATCTTGTTGTGGTAGACTTTAATACAATTACTCTATCCACTTTTGTATCCCTATTCATATTGCATCGTAACTCCTGACCTCCAAGTATGTTTGGCATATGTGTTTAGTTGATCTCTGTCATGTGTTCATATTCATATAAATATTTTCTTGTTAGTATTTGCTAGTTATAGACTCCTGTTACAGATTACTCTGTATGATTTTCCAAACCTACTCATATTTTTCACATTCGACATGTGTTTAGATGAAACCTCGATTATGTATTTGGCTTGGAAATAAGCGTACTCATCACTTTTTGTACATAGGTATATGCATGTATAGGGACAAATACCATGTGAAAGCATCTAGGCCTATAGTTGGGTTTCGGTGATTAATGACGACCCGAGATTACTATGACTAACGTGTGTTTTGCAGAGACAATTTGAGTTAGGTTATGATAATAAAAATTGATTGGGCAATCATGGTTGTCATGCCCCTGTCGGATGGAAATCGTTTCGGTTTTCAAAGGATGGACGATAAGATTAAGGACGGACTAGTTATAAGTGTCGTTTGGTGTTGGAGAGACACTTAGAGTAGTTTAGAACTTTATTTTTCATTTGGCCGTATTATTAAGGGGGAGTATGGACTAGTAGCTTGACCTAGGTGAGTCTAGTGGGTTAGGTGTGGTGCACATTGGTCAAATCTAGCACTAGGTAGCTCAGGAATAGCACCAAGATCAATTGGAGCCAACTTCGTTCACATAGGATTTCGAGTTGGAAGTGGATGGAGGGTCAAATGACTGACCGGACGTTGGTCTGGTTGTGACCGGACACTGGAGGGTGAGTCCGGTCAGTTCATTTGATCAACTGTAGTCATCTGGTACTGGCCGGACGCTGAGTGGAGGAGCACCGGACGCTGGGGTGCCTGCATCCGGTCAACTCCAGAGAGGTTTTAGAGAGGCTTTTTCTTGACCGGACGTGTCCGGTGTGTGCTGACCGGACGCTGGTCAGAGTCCGGTCAATCAACTGCAATCGTCTGGTACTAACCGGACGCTGAGTGGAGGTGCTGACCGGACGCTGGGGTGCCTGCGTCCGGTCCACTCCAAAGAGATTCTAGAAAGGCTCTTTCTTGACCGGACACGTCCGGTGGGTGCTGACCGGACGCTGGTCAGAGTTTAGTCAGAGCTTAACGGCTCTCTCTGACACAATGGCGGGTTCAACTGACCGGAACGTCTGGTCACCCTGACCAGAGCGTCCAATCATCCCGCAGAGTGCTGACTCAGCCTCCAAACATTTTGTTTTGAATGAGAGGGTATAAATACTTACTCCACTCGTCCATAAGAGCTCTCTTGTCCATTTGTTTAGCTGAGAAACACCTTTAGAGTACAAGGAAGAGCAAGAGTCTAGTGAGGTGATTGAGATTTGATAATCCAAGATTAAGGACCTCATTAGTGCATAGAGAGTAGCAAGTGTGCATCAACCTTTCTTATTAGGCTTGTCTTGGTCAAGTGAGAGTTTGTGCTTGTTACTCTTAGTGATCGCCATCACCTAGACGGCTCGGTGGTGATTGGGAGCTTGGTGATCATCCGGTGGAGCTTGTGGATGACCCAAGTCATGTTGTGAGCGGTTGTGGGTGATTCACCGCGACGAAGTATCAAAGAATCAGCCCGTAGAGAGCACTTGATCCTTGCGCGGATTAAGGGGGAGCTACACCGTTGCGCGGGTGCTCCAACGAGGACTAGTGGGGAGTGACGACTCTCCGATACCTTGGGAAAACATCGCCGTATTCCTTTCCCTCTCTTTACTTTGAACATTTATATTTGAGCAATTTATTTTATGTCTTTATATTCCTAGAATTGCCATGCTAGAGTAGGATTAGAACCTAGGGTGCAAAACTTCTGTGCGGGAGAACAATAGTAACACATTTTAGACACAAGTGGTGAAATGGACTAAGTATAGGGCTTAATTATTGCAAAAAAATAGAATTAGCCTAATTTAACCCCCCTCTTGGGCATCTTGATCATTTCATCATGCATGTGCTGGTTTTTTCTATGTTAATTCAGAATGGTTTTAATAGTATTTTTGGAAACTTTTATCAAATGATAGATGTAGATAGGTTAGATTTAGGGATTACTTTACATTACCTATGTTAA